CTTCCAACTGTTAGAAATTTTGCAGTTTGTGTGGGTTGCCATTAATTGGAGATTTTGGTTTAATCAAAATTGGTTCAAAATATAAAACAGAGTGTATGAGGCCCAAAATCGTGACCAGTTTGTTGTGTAAGGCCCAAGAGGGGACCTAGCCATTTACCATTTTACACAACAAGAGCAATGTCATCCAACCATATCCATAGCTCCCTTCTATGTGCTCTCAATCTTTCTCCTTGTTTTCTGGATTGATTTTGTCTCCCAACTTGTTTTCATTGATGGTATTCTTCATGTTGTAGATGTATGTCTCAAGCTTATTCTTTGTATCCACGTTCTTCCTTACCATTTTGTCCTCCTCCACGAACTCCTCTGCCTCCTTCACCATCCTATCAATCTCTTCCTGGCTAGGTCGCCCCTTGTCATTGGTTATAGCGGTGGATTGTGATTTTTTTGCTGCCTTGTCTTCTGCTGTTACATGGAGAATGCCCTTGGCATTATGTCAAAGTTCGCACTCCCCTACAAAGAAAATTGGTTGAATATCAATCAACATCTTACAGGCCCCGAAACCTTAAACAAATTCAACAATTTAGTCCTTCAAAAGGCCATTTGTGCATGAAACTTCCCAGTTTAATGTCTTATGTTTAAACTTGGGATCAAGAGGGATATGTTTGGATCCAAAATTTACCTTGGAGCTGGAGAAATACCTTTTAAATCAAACCTTCCTAGCTCACGTCAATCCTTCGTTAACCTTCTTTCACCATCAAAGACTTGAAATTTGCAAGTTATAGGTAGTACAAAGCATGCATATGATAAGGTTTTTTTTTTAATGAATTTCAAACTGAATTTCAACCCTTTATATCAGCAAACCCCAAGACCTTAGTCCTTTATATCAGCAAGTACTTCTGATCCAAGTAATGCTCTAAACCTTTGCAAAATTAAAACTGTTTCATTCTTCTCCTTATCTTCCCCAAAACTTTCTGAATGCTGATTTGATTCTCCCCTTTTTCCTCCATGAAATAGAACTGCTGTATCCCATGGAGCTGCTTAACTCGTCTGCTGCACCCAAAGAAGCGCCAGCAATCAAAATGCTGGTTCTTTGTAATGATAAAAAGAGGAAAAATGTGATGAACATCATGCGCATCATGTGAAGAATTTCAGAACCAATGATGCTCAGCGGGAAATCATCACAATATCCAATCTAACTTTTCTGCTTATAAGTCAGGAGCTCTTTTTCATTTTTTCCCATAAATTTTTTTTATTTTTGGTGCTGTGTAGTGAAAAACATCCATCCACTTCTACTTAGTCTTTTTTATTTTATTTTATTTTATTTTGAAACAAGGGCAATTTTTGGGATAGGGGAAGGGGATTGAATCCAGCCCTATGGGCTCGAGACACACACCAATTTCCAATCGGCCTGGAAGGCCAGGTGTGTTCTACTTAGTCTTTAATGCTACTCCAAGGAACCCCTGATCCCTGGCAGTAGTTGTTGCACTGGTCCCCTTTGCTTCCCCCGTTCATGCACTCTTTCTCTTCTTACCTCCATAAATTCCCCTGCAAAATCCGCTGTTAGATGTGTTTATTACAGCTTGCCTTTTACAAATATCCTCGTTTCTCAATCTGATTTTCTTCATAAAATCTTACTTGCCTTATACCCTTCCATTAGATGAAACCTGACCCTGCTTTGTCTCCTCACCATTATTCACTCCCTTCATCATTTTCTCTAGCTTTTCCCATGTTAATATGATAAAAGATTTTAATCATTATCTTCTTAGCACTTAAAAGTTAAAAAATCAAAGCCCACAAAAAGTTCCCATCTGGGTCCCTTTCTGTTGGACCTTGCCTAACCCTTGATACTACTTACCAAAGGTTTCCTCCGGGCTCCAACCCCCACTATTAAAACAAGGGAGAGATAGAGAGAGAGAGATTGGTTCATCCCTTCTTCATGTGAATCTGTTTTCTTCCATTAACAAAATAAAATGTTTCTAAAGTGAAATCTAAGGAGAAAAACAACATCTTGAATGTTGCATTATGGGGCTGGTGCTAGATCAGAAGTCTTTTTTCCACACTTCTTTTTAAGTTTCTTTGGCCCCACTTGCAAAGCTGGTTGTTGTTGTTTCTAAGTTCACACAAACAATGCACTTTGTTTGGTAGGATTGATGTTGATAAACCTCTGTTATCAATTTAGGTCTGCTAGACTAAAGAGCTTATTTGATCTAACTGGTTCAGAACCTCAACCAAACAAGTACTAAATCTACTCTCTTAGTCATATTGAAACCATTAATTTATGCTGCGTATGGGATACATGAAGAATTATTTTCTTGTGACATCCCAAATGATAAAGAAGGGAAAGTCTTTGCCAACCAAGCAACCAAGACCAATCCTTTGCACTAAATAACATAGAGAATGTGTTTTTCTGTTCATAAGAATAAAATTACTGGCTTACACAAGCTTTGTGTCCTAGGGCATGGGGAATAAAGTTTGCACTAAAGCCAAGCAGGAAGGTTCTGTCTGTGGTAATGTCCTGTCGCACTCTCCCTCCCATCAGACCACATTTTGAGCCCATGACATGTCATGTCTGAGAAAGCAGTGGGGCTCATTCATAGATAACCATAAAAACTTCCTATAAACTTAATGCTTTCTGATTCTCTAAACCACCCCCCCCCCCCCTCCCCTCATATAGGATGCTTTCTGCATGAAATTTATATCTGGGAAATTTGAATGAAACCCTTGGAAGCTTGAAAATATATATATATATATATATCAGAGAGAGAAAGCATCCTATAATGATTCCTTATAATGAGGTCAATTAATGGAGGCATCAGTTGGTTGAGTTTATTTCAACATAAAAAGTATTTTCCAATGAACTCCATGTTTAAAATCATCATTTTAGAATTAGAAGAAAAACAAATTTATCCTTAATAATGCATGAAGATTCATTGTTACTGGTTTTTTTTCTCTTTTTTTTTTTTTTTTTTTTAACTCTTGAAGTGATTTTTGAGTGAAAGATCGGTTGAAAAACAACATTTTGTTATTTTAGTTCCTTTTTTATTTTCATTTAAGACTTAAAAAAGGATAATTTATCAACATGTTAAATTATCATAATTAAAGATTTTTTCTAATTGAAAAGAAAACTCAAGATTAGGTTCCTCTAACCTGTTTCACATTGCATTTTCAGTGTTCTCTCTCTCTCTCTCTCTCTCTTATTTGAAAAGGCTAAAACGGGAAATTTAATGTTTCTTCTCAAGAAATAAAAAGGAAAATAATGAAACTGGGCCTTGGCCTACATCACTGTGGACTAGTGGAAATTTTCCCTCTCTGATTTTACAGAATGGGCCAGACCCCGGCGTGGACTTTTGCTGCAGGGACCAGGGGACCATCTTCTTCGTCTTCTTCTTCTTCTTTGTAACTTCGAGGCACAACCATGAAAATGAAACTCATAAAATCTGTCTATATTTTTCTTTCTTTCCCATTTTTTTCAGTCTCTTGGGTTTTCTGATTTGTTTGAAAGCATTAAGTTATATATATTCTTATTTCTATTTGATCAAACGTTAAGGTTCCATTTCTTGATAAGTTAATAAGAGGTAATTTTTCTTAAATTTCTTAATTTTAATGTTGACAACTTACTTTTAATTATATTAATAAAAAATTAATCAAGGTGTACCTAAATTGACTCAAAAACACTATAACCATTAAACCAAAATAAAGTTTGATCTAAGTTTGACTCAAAAACACCATAACCTAGAATTTAAATATTTATGAAAAATTACTTTTCTGCGACCTTTCCCAGTAATGGAATCTTAATAATCATCAGAGCGGATTGTTTTTAGTGTGTGACTTTAATTTAGAAATCAGAGAAGTATCATACCGTTAATTTTTCTTCTTCTTCTTCTTCTTTTTCATTTTTTCAACCAGAGTGTTTTATTGTGGAGCCCCTGGACTTGGAAAATTAAGGGAGGTTAGCTCAAGAATCTTCCAGGAAAACAAGCACTAAGTTAGATTTCCACAAGGAAATTTTCCTCTTATGGTTTCTTTCTATGCCATTTTTCCTTAGAAGAAACAAGGCTACATGCCACGCATTGCACGGAAACTAAGTAGAAGTAGGGTATGTACGTAGTTTTGCAAGAGAGAACTTTAGGGGCTTTATTGCGAAGAAATGCTATGTAAAATTGAAAAATGAGCTAACTTATAGTTCATTTTTAATTGGACCTTAAATATGCTATAGTTGCGTTTTTTTTTTATGAATTTAAGTGGTTTTAATTTTTAAATTATTTATTTATTTAAAGATTCAATATATAATATGTCATTTTGGCATCATATATTAAACACGTTTTTTATGTACAAAAAAATGAGCGTATTTTATAAATATAATTGCTTCAATGTAAAAGAATTTGTTTTTATGTGCTCCATTAAATTATAGCTTGATTTTTTTTTTTTGAGTAATAGTCGGTATATATT